TGAAATTGGACGATGTGAATCCTGTCGGATTGGGACGGCGATCGCGGCAGCTCTTCGACGAGGTATGGCGGAAATTCTCTGGGTTAGGTCAGATTTCGAGGACGACCCGACCTGATGAACAAGACACTCTCGACAGTCTTTTCATTAGAGAAGGACCTATGTGTGAATTCGCTGTTCCCGGCGCTCAAAACGTCACTGTTTTAGTCGTCGGAGCCACTAGCCGAATCGGCCGTATCGTCGTCCGTAAACTCATGCTCCGTGGCTACACCGTCAAGGTTCGATTACATTCAAAATGCTGATTTATTTATAGTGACAAATCTCACAAATGAATATAATATAAAGTATTTATGCAAATGCTTTTAGAGGTTGAAACGTTGAGGTTATATTGTCTTAGGCTTTGGTGAGGAAAACTGATGAGGAAGTGATGAGTATGTTGCCAAGATCAGTGGATATTGTAATTGGAGATGTTGGCGAACCTTCTACGCTCAAAGCCGCCGTTGAAAGCTGCAATAAGATCATCTTTTGCGCCACTGCTCGGTCTACTATTACTGCAGACCTTGTCCGGGTTGATCATTTGGGTGTTTATAACCTCACCAAGGCTTTTCAGGTATAAACAAAACTTGTCGATGACTGTACGGTGGTCGATTTGTATTTTTTGTTTTCGTTGAGTATAGAGTATTCATTCTTCTGTGTTATTTGAGTACTTTGCAGGATTACAATAACAGACTAGCGCAACTAAGAGCTGGTAAAAGCAGCAAAAGCAAGCTTCTAATCGCGAAATTCAAGTCGGCTGAGTCACTTGACGGTTGGGAAGTTCGTCAAGGAACTTACTTTCAGGACACAACTGCTTCTAAATATGATGGTGGAATGGATGCTAAGTTCGAGTTCACTGAATCTGAGAGGGCTGAATTTTCAGGTACACACTATCTCTTCTGCGAACAAGGCAATGTGAAAGTTATTTTCAGGTATGGTGGTTTAATCGGGTTTCAAATGCAGGTTATGTTTTCACCCGAGGAGGCTATGTTGAGCTGTCGAAGAAGCTTTCACTTCCACTAGGTTGCACTCTTGACAGGTATTGTGCGATTCATAATGTATCAGCCGTTCTGTGAAATGATTTGATCATAGAAACTTAGGAAATGGCATAACTTGCGAGTAGTATTAATGAAATATGTAACACCTCCCGAAACCCAATTAGCGTTGTTTCCTACGCGTGCTTTTGGTGGCTGTTCTTATGCTTTAATATCATTAGGTATGAAGGCTTGGTCCTGTCTGTTGGTGGGAACGGAAGATCCTATGTTGTAATCCTTGAAGCTGGTCCATCGTCAGATATGTCTCAAAGCAAACAGTATTTCGCGAGGATCAGCACCAAAGCAGGATTTTGTCGGGTATGAAAAGCACTGGTCTTGATTAATCTGACCCTTTTTCCGCTATGTTTCTGGCTAAAACTTTGATGCCTGGGGCAGGTAAGGGTGCCATTTTCAGCTTTTCGTCCGGTTAACCCAGAAGATCCACCGCTAGATCCATTTCTCGTTCACACATTGACAATACGCTTTGAGCCGAAAAGACAGGTTTGCTTACTCTTTTCAGTGCTTCAGCAGTTGTTTTTGGGGCTTGATCTGTTTGATCATTAACCAACAACTTTCATTCCTTGGTGTCTGAGTATAGCAATCTGTCGAGCTTTTTTCTCTTTCAGAGACCTGTTGATGGACTTGCTGGTGCGCAACAAGATTTGAGAAGCTTTAGCCTTATATTCGAGTACATAAAAGCTTTGCCTGTAAGTACTCTTACCTTTTTTTCTACTTGCCCAAATTCATCACTCAAAAGAAAGAAGAAACCGGAAAAGTATCAACTTTCCGACTTTTGTCTGCAGGCGGGACAAGAAACCGATTTCATCCTGGTATCGTGTACTGGTTCAGGAGTAGAGCCTAATAGAAGGGAGCAAGTGCTAAAAGCTAAGAGAGTGAGTTTGTGTTGTCTTTAACACACCGTTGTGACAACTCTTGAATCTGTTTAGGTTACGGATTGTTAGGGCTTTTGAGCCAGTGGGTTACATGTTTTCACATTTCTCTCTGGCTGTCTGCTACATTTGTTAGGCTGGTGAGGATTCTTTGAGAAGATCAGGCCTCGGATACACCATCATTCGTCCGGGTCCCTTGAAGGTACTGTTCTTTTGAGTTCCAGCGCAACGTGTACATATATTTGCTTGATTACATTACAAATTTTCTGAAACAGGAGGAGCCAGGCGGTCAACGAGCTCTGATATTTGATCAAGGAAACAGAATTTCTCAGGTTAGTTTCGACCACGAGACCGAAACTCAAGTCACCTCGCTTGCAAACCGCAATAGTCTCTAACCGCTTATAACGGCCAAATTCCCGATTCTCTTTCATTTTCAGGGCATCAGTTGTGCGGATGTGGCTGATATTTGTGTCAAGTCACTGCACGATTCAACCGCGAGAAACAAAAGCTTTGATGTGAGTTGCAGTTTATATAAACAACTGAACAAAATTTAGTCATCGACCCATAAGAAGACTTTTTTTTTTAACCTATAAAGAAGAAACCATAACAAGGATCTTTCACATTCTTTTGTTTTCTCTTGCAGGTTTGCCATGAATATGTCGCTGAGCAAGGAATAGAGCTCTACGAGCTGGTAAGAGTAACCACTAACTACATGATTTACTGCTTCTTCATCATATAATCTAACAGAGCCTCTCTCTCTCTCCCCTTCAGGTGGCTCATTTGCCGGACAAGGCGAACAACTATCTCACTCCTGCCTTATCAGTACTTGAGAAGAACACATGACAAGCTGGAAAATCTCAAAGTTTCCAGGAATCTAAGAAAATGAAAAGAAGTCGTCATAGATTCCATATTGTCTTCGCATTCATCTCAAGCTCTG